GAAAAAGTACGAGTTTGGAACATAATGAATAGTCGGGTGACCATTTTGTAACTTTTTATAGTCGAGTGACTCAATAAAGTAACACTTTATAGTCGAATGACCATTTTATAACTTTTAATAGTCTATAAACTTAATAAAACAATACTCTATAATCGGGGACCATTTACGTTTCTTACAATCTTTTTTTTAACAAATGTACTTAAAAGGGAGGGAGAGAGGACATTTTGCTCATAGGGTAAATTATATTATTTAAACTTGTAAGGTCAAGTTCGAATCCTATCTAAATCTCAATTGGATCTTCGGTATGCCCTGGTTCTGGACTGAAAAAACCAACCCTGACCTAAACTTTTTTGTAAAAAAAATAATGTTAAATTTGAAATTTAAATGTAAAATAAAAAAAAAGTATACTATTTAATCTAATTGATTGAATCAATAATCAGATTTATATAAATCTGACTAATTTCAAATTTTCTAACCTTTCAATACAATCATTCACACAAAAGAAATATAGTATGTAACATCTGGCTTGTAGTGCAATGAATGTTGAATGAGCAATGAATAGGCAAAGGAGGGTTGACTGGGACGAACAATAGAAGACAAGGACCAAATTGACTTTTTTTTGACCCAAAATTTGGACTTTGAACTTTGAATTTGACCCAAACTTAAATTTGGTTAAGAAATGTACTTTTGGGTACCAAATTCATTGTCTTGGTGTGAGTGAGATTATATTTACCGGGTCAAAAACAATCAATATTATATCCTCATTCCATGAAGCATGACCAATGCATGAAAAGGATAAAATTTAGGTAAATTTTGTGTTTAGTACTTAAACTATCAATTTTATTTTGTTTTATTACCTAAATTTTTTATTTTTTTTTCAAAAGCATACCTAAAGTTTAATTTTGTATTTCATTTCAGTTCCCCGCTCAAAATTTAACGTTAAAATTTAATTTTTTTTGAAAGTTTAGGTACTAAAATGGACAAAAACAGATAATATAGGTATTAAGCACGTTGAATTTTTAACAGTGGGGTACTAATATGAAATGAAAATTAAACGCTAATTATGATTTTATCCTGAAAGTTTAAGTACTAAAACGGATAAAAACTTATAGTTTAAATACTAAATGTGTAGTTTACCCATAAAATTGTGAAATACATCTAGAATATTAACGAGAGAGTATGATATTAGTTAAAATGACTTATTGAATGACCTCGTTAATAAAATAAAATGTTATTCTTTTTAGAATTTCAGGGTTTAAACAATTGTATCTGTATAGTTTGTGTACGTTGTAAATAGTTAATAAAGATTTTAAACAGATATTATTTTATAAATAAATTTTTGAATAGTCTGAGTAATTACAAAATAATATATTTTAGAATCTTTGTCAGCCATTGACAACACAAAAATCCGACTGTTCGAAATCTGATCCTCTAAAACAAATAATATTTTTTTATTATTATGACCATTTAATAAATTAATTTAAATAACATTTTTTTTTCACCAACATAATAAATGCATTATACGAATGCTTAATTTGTTAGGCTCCCATTGAAATGGACCACTTGTATGAAGATAGGACTTGGGACCCTACCCAAAGACATTAAATGATGGGATTTTTTAATAAAAGCTTTAAGTGTGCCTCTAACCTTTTCTTCTTTAATATAAAATCATTATATTATTTATAATTTCATATTTAAATTTATAATCTTTAAAAGATACCAATAGAATTAAAAATTGATTAACAATCATGCTTTTAAAGTATTGGCCAAACCAAATCAAACTTTTTTTATATATATAATATGTATATTTAAATTTATTAAATACACATATTTTTCATATATATATATATATATATATATATATATATGTGTGTGTGTGTGTGTGTTAATTACATCATAAGGTGAAATATATATGTATGGATTTGCTTAATTTATATATTTAACGTGTTTTTTTTACATTTAAAGTACAATAAATTTACTATTCAATAAAATATAATAAATTTATATAAAGTTTTATTAATAACGATAATATTATTATTTTGAATTTATCACGTTGGTATATCTATTTTACATTAATTTTTATTCGTGTAATTTTTGTATGTTTAACTAAGATATTATAATATATATATATTTTTGTATATTTATAAATTATAGGGTAAATCACACAGATCATCACTGTACTTTGCTCTATTTCCTATTTCAGTCATTATACTTTAAAGTTGGTCAATTTCATCACTGAACTTAATATAATTGACAAATTTGATCACTCGGTTGTTTCCCCCACTAACGACCATTTCCAGAAACCTATTTCCTTTCAATCCATCGTCTCCAAGCAACGGTGGCTTGCGTCGCTGTCACCAGTAGTCCCGATGTCACTTCTCGAGTAAAACCGAATCATCAGCTACCCAAAATCAATCATCAAAACATCACAAATTGTGAGAAAGTCGCTCGACGTTGCTACTGATTTTTGTGATTTTCGGTCGATTCCATCTTCGTTGCACCTCATCGCCTTCACCATTGAGTTCCTTGCCCAATTCCAACCAAAACCCAGGTGGTAATGTCCCTTGACCGTCTCTCTATCACCGTGCGATGGGCTTGAAATGAAAGTGGTGGGAGTACGGGAAACGATCGAGTGACCAGATTTGTCAATTATATTAAGTTAAGTGATGAAATTGACCAGTTTTAAAGTACAGTGAGTGAAATAGGAAATAGAGCAAAGTTCGATGATGATTCATGTATTTTACCCTAAATTATATTATAGAGGATTATATGTATAGTTTTTTTTAACAATTTACATAAATTTATGATTGTTGAATGGATAAAAAAATATTAAAATTAATAGTATGAAATAAAAAGATATTTAAAATATATATATAATGTAATATATAAATTTTAATTTAACAGATATCGTATTTTAATATTTTGGTGTTTTTTTTATTTGTGCTGTTCACGATCAAAACCGTGTCGAATATTGTTTGGAATTGTATGAAGCACAGTTTGACCGTTTCTTATTGGCCCCTGTCTACACGTGTAAAAGGAATTCAAAATGTTAACTTTTTGAATTATAAAATTTGGGTAAATTACAAATTATTTTACTCTTTCTTCTATGCCACTAATTGTACTTTAAATCTTTTCAATTTTTTTTACTAAACTTAATATATTAAGTTTTTTTTGTTATTCAACCGTTTTCTCATTAACGACATTAGAAATGGGTTTTATATAAATGTAAAATGAATTCGTTTTGGGGATTTTTTTAAAATGATATCATTTTAATGTCGTTAACTATTTAACACCGGAGTGACAAAAAATTCAATGTATTAAGTTTAGTGAGAAAATTTAAAATTTTTAAAGTTCAATGAACAAAATAGAGAGAGTAAAGTTTAGTGATGAAATTTGTAATTTACCCTGTAAAAAATTTCTGTTAGGATTTATCACTATTTTACCTACAATTAAATTTAGAGTAAATTAAGCGTTTAGCACCTACACTATCATTTTTAGTTTGTTTGAATACCTAAACTTTCAATTTTTTTAAAACATACCTAAATTTTAGTTTTTGTTTCATTTTAGTACATGCTGTTAAAAACTTTAATTTTTGTTTCATTTTAGTACCCCGTCCAAAATTTAACGTTCAGGCTTGAAAAATGTTTAGGTACTAAAACGGAAAAAAACTGATATTTTAGGTATTAAATGCATTAAATTTTTAACGCTGGGGTACTATATTGAAATGAAAACTAAATGTTATGTATGATTTTAAAAAAAATTGCACGTTTAAATACTAAAACGAACCAAAACTGACAGCTTATATACTAAATGCACAATTACCCTTAATTTTATGTAAAAACAACTAATATCGATATTTATATAAACTATTAGTTGAACATGTCAAATAATTTCAATAGTAAAAGAAAGTTATTATCTTTGAAAGTTTTAATTTTGAGTAGTCGTCTGTGCAAGTGTGTAGTTAATAGGTTAAAAAAGATTACGAGCAGATAGTACCATATAATCAATCTAGATCATTTAAGAAAAAATAACTGTTAATTTATCTAATACGATAAAGATATTAAATCTTTTATTAATTGCTATGCTATAATATAACTTAATAAGATCATTTTTAAGGTATTTGATTATAACTGATCAATTATTAAATTATCTATTGATAAATTGATATATTATTTTCATGAAAAAAAATAAAAAATAATACCAAAACATAATCAAAATAAAGATGAAACGACGCCGGTCCCCAATTGTTTCAATTAATTTAATTTTGAATTTTGATGTATTTAAATATTAACAGAATAAAATATAGTTTTTCTTTAAATCTTTTATTGTTTAACTCTTTGATATTTAATTTTAACCTTAAATAAAGGGGACAGGTGGGTCGATAAATATTTTTTGTAACATCAGTCAACATGATAGTTGAGTTAAATTTATCATTGATTAAGGGTCTGTTTGTTTGTCGTAAAATCAATTATGGAATTGGTTTTCTCTGAAATACTGTGTTTGCTTCATGTAATTGTTTTCCGAAAAATGTTTTTCCGTGTTTGTTTCACGTAATTAGTTTTCCGAAAAATGTTTTCCCTTGTTTGTTTCACGTAATTCATTTTCCTAGTAACATAATTTCCTTTGTGTTTTCTGTAAAATACGTAAAAAAAATTCAAAATTATATGATAATTTTAAATTTTGAGGGATGATTGTCTTCACCCGCCTGCTCAACTTAATATTTAAGCTAAATTGTATTTTAATTTTAGCTATTACATTAGTATTTTTGTTAACTTTTAGTGATATAATAACATCAAATTATATCATGTAATAACGATAACATCATCATATGTGTTTTTTTTACATATTCGATCAATTGATTAAAATATTCATCTTTATTCTCTCTTATTTTCTTAAGTTGTGAGTTTTAAACTCGCTAGAAGTGCTTCAGTTCTTTCTCTTAGAATCCACGTTCCCTTTCCTATAAATTGAATTATAATTTAATTTAAAAATTGTCAAAGAATTTTTTTTATAAACTCTTATTTATAAGAAGGTTCTTATATTTATATTTCAAATTTTCATTGTCACGTAATTCTCTTATTTAGAAATTATTAAGAAAGTCATAAACTTTAAACTAAAAATATAAAATTACTAAAAATATAGGAAATCTAATTAGTCATCCTAGGGGAATTGAAGTTGAGAAAGTGGCCAACCCATCTCTATTTCCTTATCAAATTCTAATATTATTATTAATCATCATCATGATTAGCCTGATGAATTTTCTTTTACATTTTTATATTAAAAGACGCAGAACCAATTCCAAATTCAACAAAAGGTGAAAGGTGGCAAAAGAGATAAAAGAAGAAGAAGAAGATGAAGAAAAGTAGTACAATTTCATAGCACCCAAAGCTACAACGAAGAAAGAAGCACATTAAAGGTTTTTAGAGAGAGAAAATCAGAAAGAGAAACACCCCACAGTTTCTTTTGTTTTCTTTAGTACACAATAGAAAACCCCCCATGTAAATTGTAATCAAAAGCAAGAGAATGATAATTAAAACAAGGAAAAAAGAGGGTCTTCCATGTCTGGCTACTACTACCTTTCTTCCTTTTTCTATAGCTTCTTATAACTCAGCTTTTTGAAGGGTTCTTTGCAGAATTCGGGATTTGGAAGCTCCCCATTTAAGGTAACCATACACGATACATGTATGATTTCTTCTAAAGTTAGTGTTTTTTTTGGGGGTTTTCAAAGTATATATGTGTGTTTGAGGTTTTGGGTTTTTGTTAATGATGGTGTTCATGATGAATTTTGGAGGTGTGTTAATTATGTTATTGGGGAAAGGGTAGATAACTATAATTCTCAAAAAGTGAGCTTTTTTGTTCTTCATTTTTATTTTTATTTTTTGACCTTTTCTTTGGATATCTTTTACCTAAGGGTAAGATATTTTCTTGGAAAATTGTTATCTTTTATTAGTTTCTGCTAGGTGAATTTTCTTCTGGAAAAGTTCTTTTAAGGAAGTTTATGTTGATTGTGAAGGCTTCATGTATATATTTTTTAATTAATATAAAAAAATTGACAAATATGTGTTTCCTGGTGTTCAACAAAAATGATTTCTTTGGACTTTTCTGCTTGTTTGTATGTATGTATGTATGTATGTATGTTTCTTCGATTTGGACTGATATATCAGTTTTGATCATAGCTTGGAACCTGAAAAAATATGGTGGGTTAAACCTATATTTTTTAATGATGTCAAGTGAGAAACTAGAGTCTGTTTGTTGCTCAACTAACATTGAAGCTGGTTTGGTTACGAAGATTCCCCTGTTTCTTCTTTTCCCTTTGTTCGCATGGAGTTTTTCGATTTTGTAGTTGTTTGATTCATGGCTGGTAGTGGATATAACCTTAAGTAAAAGTTCTGGCCTGTTGTTGGTATGGACTATGGATTATGAGTTGCTGTGATTTTCTTTTGACTTCTTTTCCTCTCAATGATCAAAGCCAATTTCTTATTATCCTGTTTACGACAGTCTTCGAGTTCCAATATTTGTTCTCCATCAATAAACTTTCAGATCATATTCATGAAGGCCTGAAAAAGTTCCTTGTTGTGATTCTTATCAGGCAGCTTCATCTGATTTCATGGTTGAGAACATGAATTCTGGAGTCTGCATGAAATATTATTTGCTGGAAAAACTTTTTGATTACATATTATTTTTCGTCCGTGTTGTTCTTATGCATGCGTTTATGTCTGCAGATAGAAGGATCGACATTTTGATAATACGGGGTCGGGGTTGCTGATATTTAGTTATTGTATTTCTTCCCATGCTGCAGTATGGGAAAGAGGGGAAGTTGGTTTTCTGCAATTAAAAGAGTTTTCTTACCACATTCCAAGGAAAAGCTAAGTAATGTAAGTTGTTATTTTATCAGTGGTGCATACAGACTTTACCACTTTGTTCGTGATTTTGCGTAAAGATTGAATGTCGTGGATGATATTTGGTTGCTTGATTTCGTTATTTTTCTTATATTTTCATGATAGAAAACTTCAAAATTTTCGCTAGAATGCAATTTACTGATAGAAGAGCTTAATTGGAGTGTGAAATTTATGGTTGAAGTCAGTTTTGTTCTATGGTCGGCTGTTGATATTGGTGTATTCGTTTCCGATCTCATAGCATTGGCAAATTCTACTTTATATCGTGTGCATACGGAGCGGCATTAAAAATGTTACTGAAAGGATACCTTATGTTTTCCATGTCTATATCATTTCAGGAATGGGATAAAATAAGTGATAAAGACAAGAAGAAAAGCCTAGGAAAACAAAGGCATGGAGAAACCAACTCCTTCCTTCCACTATTCAGAAAGCCCAGCAGTATCGAGAAAATTCTGGGGGAGGCTGAACGAGAGCATAACCTGATATTCAGGCCTCCTTCACCTCCGGAGCAGCCAACAACACCGCCTTTTGTGCCTCACAGACCTGCTTCTCCAATGGTTCCTTCTCCGAGGATTGCCTCTCCTAGGGTTGCTTCTCCTAGGGCAGCTTCTCCGAGAACTGGTTCTCCACCTCCACCCCCACGAGCTGCTTCTCCACGTGTTGCTTCTCCAAAAGCCGCTCCTCCTAGGACTGTTCGTCCTCGACCAGAACCGACTTTAAGGAACCAGCACGCTTCAGCAACTCAAATCCAAGCAGCCTATAGAGGTTATAAGGTAAGTCACTTTACCCTTCACTTTTTGACCTGCTGATATATATTTGTAAATGAACATAGTTCTCCATGGAAACATTATAATAAAGAGCATTTTAATATTAATGGCTATGCTACAGGTCATGTGTTCGTCGGTCGGTGTATCATAATGTTTTATGATACACCGTATGTATCTTTAGACCGACATGTTTTGCATCGATATTTGATTCCCGACTTCATCTTTCCACCTCTAAATACAGGCAAGGAGAAGTTTTAGAGCTTTGAAAGGCCTAGTGAGGCTTCAAGGAGTGGTGAGAGGTCAAAATGTGAGACGCCAAACTACAAATGCCATGAAACATATGCAGCTTTCGGTGCGAGTTCAGTCTCAGATTCAGTCACGCAGGATCCAGATGTTTGAAAACCAAGCACGGGCTCAATTTAAGAACGATAAGGAAGCCGAGAGGACCTTGGGCAAATGGATAAGCCAAGCAGTAAGTTTATGGAACCAGTAGACATACGTTCATGTTTATTTCATTTATGTTTGTTCTCTTGTATCACTGTTAAATGCCTAACTTAGTTAAATGTTGGATCAGTCCGAGGCAGGCAACGAAAACTGGGATGACAGCGTGATAACAAAAGAGGAAAGAGAAGAAAGAAAGCGGAGAAAAGCAGAGGCAGCCGTTAAGAGAAAAAGGGCCATGGCATATGCATATTCGAACCAGGTAATCTTATTTTTACCAGCATAGGCCAGATTCAACTGTACCTTATTCAATGTTTTATTAGTATATGATTCGAATGTTAGTATTTCTTAAAGTATCAGCATCTATTGCACAACATATATGAACATTGGTATCAATTATATGATCATCCAAAAACACCCCAAAGAAGAAAAGGTTGATTATCGGATACATACTGTAGCTTATGACGTTATGGTGTGTGCATTTGATTTAATATTGGTTTAAAACTTCTATTCATAACAGCTATGGAGAGCTGCTTCAAACTCAGGTCACACAGGTGTTTCAGGCCTTTCTAGCGGATTTCCATGGTGGTGGAACCGGTTGGATCGTCACCTACCTCCAGCCATTGTTGCTGAAAGCCAAGGCATGAAGAGTTTTCAACTAACACCACCAACGCCAAATACCGAACTGAAGCCTGGTTCAAGGCCGCCATCAAGCAGCAGCAAGCAAAGGCAGTTCACCTACGACAACATTACCGAAACTCCCACACCAAAATCCGCAACACTCCCTACACCAAGACTGAAACGAACACCGCCTTCAAGTTCTAGCAAAAACCAATACTCAAGGTCAAGGGCTACCAGAACCACTTCACCTTTTGACATGCACATTAAGGACGACGATAGCCTCATGAGCTGCCCACCATTTTCAATTCCCAACTACATGAATCCAACCGTTTCAACAAAAGTCAAAGCCAGAGCCATTAGTAATCCAAAAGAGAGATACGTAGGAACTCCCCGTAGTGAGTCGAATAGGAGGCTTTCATACCCTTTTTCACAAGGGATCAGATCATTCAGATCAAACAAAGGGTCTGTAAGCAACATGAGTGTTGATTCAACACTTTCTACTCCAACTAATGCCACTGATGGAAGGAAGCCATTTAACAGATTTGTGTGATTCATTTTCTCTGATTCTTAACCTTTGATTACTTATGTATTATTGTGGTGTTATCGTAATTGAGTGTATGGCTTTACATATATAAAGGACATTATTAAACTATAGAGAACAATGATTTGGATGTAATAGGAACTAGGGTTTGGGGTTACATTACAAAGGAAAATATCCCCAGTTTTACACCACTGATTCATGTGTGCTTCAGCCTAGTGAAGATGGCGATTTGCTGTTGATGGGACCTAAAGATCGAGTCGGGTGACGGATCGAAACTTCTGGAAATGGTGTACTTATAGTTCTTAGAATTCGATTTTCGTTCTTTTGAAAGTATTCATATTCGATATCGATGCAGAGATTACGATTCCTGAAGAGATGTAATCTAGTTCTTGAGGATGGTTTGGACCAGATAAAATGGCAGGGTTTCAATCTCCCAACTGACGTGGGGACAAATTAAGACCGGATGATGTATCGACTCGGTTAACTTGGTTCCCAAGAAACACATCTTCCTCCGACACATTTGATGTCCAACATAACAATATTGCTCTTTACTTGACTTCTGGCAAGTTGAAGTACTCCTACTGGGAATTCAAGCCTTCGAAGAACCAATACGTCTCATTTGTCGAATTGAGTTCTAAAGGGTTGATGTTATTCGATGACGAACATGAACCCTAACGTTGTCTATCGTTATTGTCATCGTTTCTACTATTTTCTTCGACTATCGTCATCGACAAACGACTCAGTTTCTTTTTTTTTTTTCTTTCATTGATCAAAGTTTTAAAACTCAAATTAAAAAAATTTGAGTAGGAACCCGAAGCCTACTCAGCAAAACAAAAATCACCTGGCAATGTACAACTTGAGCAAAAGAAGACAGAATACAGAACCAACTCAACCCCAGCACAAATTCATAACAGAGCAAAACACACTACTAAACCAGGAACAACCCTTACCATCACTCTTTGAACTCACTTCAAGCTCGTTTATTCTTTTCTCCATCTTCTAAACTTCAATATCGACATTCCCAGAGTACTCCACGTTCCATCTATGCAGTGCTCCTTTGACTCATCTCAGCTTTGCAACAATATCCTAACCAGTCCAACATCCGAGAGCGTCTCCTTAATTAACTCTAAACATCTCCGTAACGTTCTTGTCGAGGCTCACATAACCACCGTGCTTCAAGCCTTCACAAAAAGACAGCCATCGTGTTATTTTTCTCTACCATCAGGTTCTATGGAAGAAGGTTAAGATTTCATCATCAATTCTAAGCCAATTGATTATAGGTTTTTGACGCCATAAAACCCTTTATCTTCTAAATTCGTTCATCCTTCCTGCACGAACGAAAATCCCATGCCACCGAGCTTAAAAAAGTTCACTCCAACCAGTCTCTTCTTTGACTAAAAAATCGCCATAGCATTTTGAATTTGATTTGATTTTAATTTTAATTCTTTATAAAAAGATAATTTTATAAGATGAAATTTAAACCTAATATATTTAAACCAAGTAACAATTCTATATATTTTCATATTCTTAAGTGCATGTTCAATCATTTTAGCGGTCAAATCTTAAACAACACATTCACGTTACAGGTTGGCAAAGGAAGCAAAGTCAAAAAAGTAACATAAATTATAAAGTACGAGTTTATCCATAAAACGCATAGTGAACAAGGTCAAGACAGTGCAGCTTTGCTTGCCGCCCAACCGTGGCAGCAGCGGCCAAAGAAGACCGTCGGAGATAGAATTAATACATTGAACAGCGTTCTTTAGGTAACTAGAAATCTTTGTCCAGTCACATAAATAACATTAGCGGACAAAGTTTTTGTTCTGCTCGAAAGTAGACAAGTGTTGAATGTTCCTTTGAGCTGGTAAACAAAAGCTAGCTGTTACATATGGAACAATTCCAAAACCCATGCATCTCTGTAGCTATAAATATCGACACCCATCACACCAGCAATCACAACGAAACCTCAAAAGCTATTGAAAATCAAGCAAATCTTACTTTCTTCACATGGCTTCCCCCACTAACTTCCTTGTTCATGCATTTCTCTTGTTGGCTCTTGCAACCACTTCCTTTTCCTTATCACCCAAATTTTACGATAAAATTTGTCCCCAAGCTTTGCCTGCCATCAAGAAAGTAGTCGAGGCTGCCGTCCACCGCGAGCCTCGGATGGGAGCCTCTTTACTTCGTCTGCACTTTCACGACTGCTTCGTTAATGTAACATCATTCGTCTTTACATCCTTTTTATGTTCATTTTATGTGTTCTTGAACTCATTACTGTATTGTATCGCAGGGCTGTGACGGTTCACTTCTTCTGGATTCTACACCAGCTTTCGAAACCGAGAAAAATGCACGTGGAAATCTGAATTCCGTGAGAGGCTTTGAAGTTGTTGACCAAATAAAGACCGAAGTTGATAGAACTTGTGGACACCCCACTGTCTCTTGTGCTGATATCTTAGCTGTGGCAGCTCGTGATTCAGTAGTTGCGGTAATGTCCATATCATTTATCAATCGAATCATAGAAAAAAAAACAACAGTGTTTGATTTGTAATTGAAAATGTTTGCAGCTTGGTGGTCCGACATGGAAGGTCCGGTTGGGGAGGAGAGACTCAACCACAGCTAATAGAGCCTTAGCTGACAGCGTGCTTCCATCGGCTTCAATGGATCTGCCTGCATTAATCAACAACTTCAAGAATCAGGGCTTGAACCAAAGAGATCTCGTAGCTCTCTCCGGTGGCCACACTATTGGATTGTCACAATGTGTAATCTTTAGGAATAGAATATACAATGCAACCAATATCGACCCTGCCTTTGCTAAACAACGTAGAGCCACCTGCCCACGAGCCGGAGGCAACACTAATCTAGCTCCTTTTGATTCAACGCCCGCCAAGTTCGACACTGCGTACTTCAATAACCTAGTGAAGCAAAGGGGTTTACTCACCTCGGATCAAGCACTTTTCAATGGTGGATCAACTGACAGACTTGTAAAGACTTATAGCTCGAATCCAGATGCTTTTTGGGATGATTTTGCAAAGTCTATGATTAAGATGGGGAACATTAAACCTTTGACCGGAAGTCAAGGACAAATTCGTGTCAGTTGCAGGAGGGCAAATTGATGAAAGCAACAACAGTTAATTGTTCTTCTTGTTGTACTAATTGTTTATCGTTTGTTAAATTGTATTTTATGGAAATAAGGACACATATAAGAAATGTCAAATTATATACCTTTTGAATTGTTTGATTCATTATCTCTGTTAAATTGATAATGTGACAACATTAATAAAACATTTATGTCTTTAATTTAAGGGTAAAGTACACTTTTAGTATTTCCATTTCACTTTCATTTCATTTTGGTCATCCAAATATCTCGTTTTCCAAAATCGCACTTAATATTATGTTTTAATTTTATTTTGGTTACACACTGTTAAAAAATCAATAGAATTATTGATGTAACATCTTTTTCATTTTCATTTTTAATGATGACGTAATAATATCTTATGATGACACATTAGCATCACCGTAAATTTTTTAATGATAGGTGATCAAAATGAGACTAAAACAAAATATTAGATATAATTTAAAAAAAATAATCGAACGATTAAAATAAAATAAAATTTCTAATTAGAGTACTTAATATGTAATTTAATTTATTAAATTATTTCAATTAAGCATATTATGAAGTTATATAGAATTCATAAAATAAAATGATAACATTTATCATTATAATTATTTGAATAAACTACGTATTTAGTACTTAAATAATCAGTTTTGATCTATTTTAGTACCTAAACTTTCAGTTTTCTTAAAATCATATGTTTTTGTCCGTTTTAGTATCTAAACTTTCAATTTTTTTCAAAACTTAACGTTAAATTTTGAACAATGTATTAAAGTGAAACAAAAAATAAACTTTAGGTATGATTTTAAACAATTAAAAATTTAGATACTAAAATAGATTAAAAATCATAATTTAAGTATTAAACACGTAATTTATCCTAGTTATTTTAGCCCTCAAGAATATTCCAAATTTTGTCTACGTCTTCAAAAGGACAATAGGAAGCCATTCCGCCATGGATAAGTAGCTTCAAAAATGACTTCCCACTGAAAGAAAATAAGGTCTCACCCATTATCCAATTCTCTCATAAATCCAAATTTCCAGTTCAAGCTTCTCTCTTTCCTTCATTTTTTTTGTTAACACTGTAAGAGAAAGAACAAGTTTCAGTCTTTGAGTCAAGAAAATGGCTGAGGTGGAAGACGCGGCGAGCTCCAGCGGAGCAAGCGAGTCGTCGGAAATCTCATCGGAGATAACCCTGTTCGGAAAATACGAGATCGGGTGTGGCGCTTTCGCAAAAGTTGACCACGCGCGCAACGTCGACACCGGGCAGAGCGTGGCGATCAAGGCCTTCAGTTCATGGCGCAGGTTAAGAGGGAGATAGCTATCATGCGCCGGCTGCGCCACCCCAACGTCGTCAAGCTCATCGAGATGTTGGCTACCAAGACCAATATAACTCGTTTATAATTGTTGGTTAATAAATACACAAATCTCGTATATAATTGTTTGTTTTAAATTAAGTGAGATAACTCTTTGGTTATTTGAGTTCGATTTGGTTAATAATTAATTCGAATGGATTTGATTCAAACTCGAATTTAAATTGAATTTTTAACGAGTTACATTATATCCTATTCAAAAAATTTGTGAGAAATTAAAAAAAAAATAACATATTTAATTTTTATTTTTAAAATTAAATTATTATTAATATGGATTTATAGAGGAATTTTCCTATTAATATCAATATTATTGTCTTCCGATCAGCCATAACTCTCGACATAATTTCTAATAGATTCACGTAATATGTTGGCCTTGTTAACTTGTACTCATCGTGATCTTACGTCTGACATTAATACTAAAGAACAATAAAACCTCTAACGCAAGACAAGAAAAGAGGCTTTATTCTCCTCATATTCATCTCCGCTGGTATGAAAAAAGAGCATTGCTTTTCATCTTTGATCAATCATTGATAATAAAATTAACAACTACAATTTTTCGTTTAAATCAATAGAGATAAATCGTCTATAGTTGTCATAACTCACATTTCTCTATTAACAAGACTAAAAATATAGGGTAATGAATCATAACATTATATTTATTTTATGTTTGTGTGTCATGGTATGTGTATTATGTTATGCTAGACCATTCCATGTTATGTCATGTGTGCCATGATAGGTTAGGTTATACCATACAAAGGAGATGGTATTGGTTTGTAAGATTTTATGAAACCTTGACATGCTTGGGATATCCCGTGTTGATATTTTGTGTTATGTTATTTTTTACGTGAATACGGTTACGAATCTTATTAAATTTTCTGTAGTCTTTTCAAGCATTATAAATTTCATCACTTAACAAAATCACGATTGAATAAACTTAATATGTTTGGTTTTTTTGGTCGCCTCATCGTTAAATAGTTAGCACCGTTAAAACAACGCTGTTTTGGAAAAATAGAATTTACACCAAAATGACGTCGTTTTACACTTATATAACAGTCAATTTAGAACGTCGTTAATGAAAAAACGAATGAGTCGTGAAATAGTTAGCATGCTTAACTTAATGATCTAGAATCTGATTAAAAGGGAAGAACTTAGGGTCTTTTCAAATATTTCAAATAATACATTAACCAATTTGGTTGGGGATGTATAGAAATTAGAAGATGATCTATACGTGGGACAATGATGTCAACAATTAATTTCTCAAATAGTGTCATTAAAATCTCCATTATTTTGTATTGATTAAACGATTTTAGTCGTTAAGATATTTGTTATAGTCTCTCGAGGTTTCAAGTTCAAACACCATAAATGTAAGGGATTTGAGCATTATTTGCCAAATGGTTGAGAATCTTTGAACATATACTACCCTTTTATTTGCTCTAGTTTTCGTTCATTTGTTTTCGTTTTTCATTTAAATGAACGAGCATAAACGAACACGAACAAGCTACATTCCTTAACGAACGAACACGAACAAGAAATTTTGTGTTCGTTTATGTTCATGTTCGTTCATTTGTTCGGTTAAAGTTAAACGAACGAACATGAGCATATCACGTTTGTGTTCGTTCGGTTCGTTTACAAGACTATATATATGACAATTTTACAATTTCACTCATGTTTCACATCGACGTTGTAATTACCATCTTTGATGCCTTCTCTTAACATTTAAGATACCGATGAAGTTGTCTAATAATATCTTATCACTCTAACAATTTAGATTTTACCTAAATCACTTTAACACTAACAAAATTCAACCTGAAACTCATAAAATCCTAAACTATTATGGTCTATAATATCCACCGCCCGATCAACGAAGAATCAAAATATACAATTTGCTTCCTTCTTTTCCACCTCCTCACCGTTGGAATTTAGAACAAGATTTTTTATCATCGAGAACAAATCAAAAGTTTAGTGAGTATTTTTTTTTTAATTTTAGTGATCAAAACACGAGTATAAAATTAATCTGGGTAAGTATAAGGCAGTATCTATTTAAATATAACTCTAAACCATTTGAAATTGAATATTTAAACACCTAGCATACCCGATTCTTGAATCTGAAACTTCAAATAATAACAACAATTCATTTACCAGCGAGATCGCTTGGTTTGTGCTCATTTAATGATATTAAATCAATGTAAAACTAAAGTATTTTATATTAGGTAAAACGGTAAGTAAATCATAATCACAAAATAATTGAGGGGTGAACTCTATATCTAGTACCTAAACTATCAGTTCTATTCAATTTTAGTACTTTAACTTTTAATTTTTTTTAAAGTCATTCATAATGTTTAGTTTTTGTTTCATTTTAGTATTCCGTCGTTAAAAACTTAACGTAACTTTTCCAAGTGACATCTTTTATAGGTGAATTACATCATTCATCTCTTAACTATCTTCTCACTCCTATTTTGGTCATTAAAGTTTAAAATTTTTCAATTTAACTAGCCAACTTTCAAATTGATCATGTTTTAGTTACTCTAATTTATTTTATTAATAATATTTTGTGACATGATATTTTTTTTTATTTTATTAATATATAATTAAAATAAAAAATAAATTTAAAAGTTAGAGTGATTAAATTAGGAGTAATTTGGAAGTTAAGTAATTAAATTAAAAAATTAATCTTCAATGACCAAAATATGAGCGAGAAGATAGTCGAGTGATAACTGGTGTAATTTACCCATAAAAATATCAAGTTATAACAATTACAGTGCTACTAAAATGAAACAAATATTAAAAGTTAGGCGTAATTTTGAAAGAAATTGAAAGTTTAAATACGAAAATGAACCTAAACTAAACTGATAGTTTAAGTACTAATTGCGTAATTTACCCAAGCATTAGTGTTTACAAAAAGCCGGCCCCATAAAAGTGGTTCATAAAGGATTTCATACACTATAAAAATTAATGTTCTTTTCGTCCCCATTTTCCTCTTCTCTCTTATCATTTTCTTTCTTACAAAATTTTCGTCTCAAAAAAAAAAAAAAAAAGATTCTTACCGTTTCTTTGTTGGTAAGGAAAAAAAAAGGCATCATTTCACCGCGCCGACCCGATTAGGCTCCGGAAGGGACACCTGATTCTGTAAGTTCCCCGAATACCTCACGTATTCTATTGAGTATTTGCAAAGGAACTTTTTTTTGGGAAGGGGGACCTTAAATCGATCCATTTCTGGGGATTTCTTTGCATTTTTAAATTTATTTGATTGGTTGACAATTGAACCATTAATGCGGTGTTAGGGTTTGTTTTGTTTTCCGTTCTTGAAGGATTTGCAATTGTAATGCTATATAGGGTTCTTGAAGCACCGAGGAACGGCTGCGTTTAAATAACTATCTTCGTTTCGGATGAGAGGTTAGGGTTTTCGATTTTGGGGCATTGTCTATTGAATAGGAAATTGCAGGGACTGGAGGTCTGACTTTTAGGTTTTGTTTTGGGTTGATTGTATAAACTGGGAAAATAGGTGGGGGCTAGAGGATAATGTGTATACTGTGTGTGGTTCAGAAGTGGTCTCGCCGGGTTGCTGCCATGCTGCCTTGGTTAGTTATACCTCTCATAGGTTTATGGGCTCTTTCTCAGCTTTTGCCGCCTGATTTTCGATTTGAGATTACCTCCCCGAGGTTGGCTT